AAACGGTTTACCTTTGCCTGGTCGACAAGCTACGGAGATTCATACGATCTGCTGATGTATTTATATAAATCCAGCGCAATTTTTTAAGAACCAAAGAGACTTTTTCGTTAAATTTGATGCTCTTTATCAACCAAACTCTTATCCTGTGAAAAATTTCTGTGGTCGTACTGCAATAAGGGAGAAAAAAGGGCTTTTGCAATATTTCGACATGTCTTCTTTATGCTTTCTCCCGTGATCAGGATGAGCACAAGGCTTGTCCTTAGCTCTTGTGCACGTGACAGATTATGGAAGTGGAATTCTATTCTCTTTCGTTTCATATATGTGCGTGTGAGACTAAGAGTTCGTTTTTTCTGAAAGAGAGTGTAAGTAGCACTGCACGATGCTGAATAAAACTACTTTATGCGGAAGTGCACTCTTTAAGCTACACGTAGCTTGATGCATTGATTGATGCAAAGCGTACACAGCTTAGTTCCTTGAAGTTTGGAACAAGTGTAGTTCTGTGCTAAAAAAAAGGAGGATAGTGCTGCTAAATTCTTATGAAAAGTGGATGCGTTACGTTGCAGAATAGGCGAACGATTAACATCGACGATAAAGCTGAGAGAGGTCAGCTGAGCGAACATGTATCACGATTCGATCCACCCAAATGTAATCTTCATTATGGATAGCCACCGACCACCGTTGATACAACAGCATCGAGCAATCACAGTTATGACTTTGTGAGTTTTCTTTATGAAAAAATTAGAAGTGAGTGTCCTACACTGTAAGCGTGATATTATGAGCTGTCTTTCTATTAGCATCTCCAACCCTTCTTAAGGCCACCTGATGTTCACAATCTCAATAATTTGCTTAAAATGTTGAAAACATTAATTCCTGCTTCGTTTCCTCAAATGTCAACTAAGTTCGTAAATAGGCATAAAAAACTTAAGAATACTTCTATATTAACTTGCAAAATGAAACAATTTTAATTAGACACAAAAACAGTCTGTCAATAATTCAGCCGAGCTAAGCTAACGTTTTAATCGCTTTATTAAAAACTTTTGTTTGCCAAAACGCGAAAAATTCATATAAAATGTATATATATAGTGAGGGGTTGATAGGTATTCAAGATTCCCTTTAACCGAATAATAATTTTCACTTGTTTTTGTTATCGTTTAGAGTAGGACGAAGTCACCCTCTGCTTTCAAGTTTCTGACTATTAAAACTTTTCTCAAATGATTTCAAATTTTACTACGTTTTATTAACGACTATAAAAGAGTATTATATGCATAATCGTAAAGTATACCACACATATATGCATGTATTGTGTTGTAGTTTTATGCTTTTACTTTACAATCTATGATACCTAAGACTGTATGCCATAATGTGGTAGTGCGGTAGTTCTCCGTATGAGTTATTAATAGTTTTATATTTTCTGTGCAATGGTTTAGAATATGACTAAAATAGCTCCCATATCAAATGATGTAATAACAACTATTCTTAACACACTGTTGCTTGTTCAGAGTAAAGAAAAGAGGAATTTTTTTTTTTAAATTCTTTTATACATATTCAAAAGTACTTTCGGGATATTATATTATTTTTTTTGTGAAGTTTGTAACGCTCGGAAAGATGAGAAGAGGCAATAGGAAAATTTTACTTCATACAATCGCTTCTGCTGACTTTGTCGGATCTTAAAAGAAAGATAAATTTCGATATTGAAAGGTTTTCGAGAATTTTATGCTCAAAAAAGCTTACCGCCTTCGAAAGAGAAATACTTTTGTACCCTACAATATAACATATAATAACATATAATGATAGCACTAGAAAGTTATTATATTGCAATAGTTAGTGTTGTTAATTCACTCTGTAATTCTCTGCTAAGGCTTGAACCTCTATCTGCATACATCAACCATGTTGTCGAAAGTTCCACGGACTTTCTTCTTATATAAGTAATTGCCGAACAGTTTGTCAGACAACGATGATAAGCTATAGTTATTGGTACAAAAGGAGGGGATAAGAGGGAGAGAGAACATAAGAACATTACGAACTTTCGAAACTCCTATATGCTTGGCGAATTTTAAAGTTTTCACTTATAGGTATTAAATACGAGTCGGGTTCCCTTTTTTGTGTCAGGACGTGGCATTCAGAGATGCCGAAAAAAGTACATGTTCTTGAAAGTCTTTCACAGATTTGGCAAAGCTTATCGTTCTATCGATCTTGTCTGTCTATTGTTGTAACCAAACCAAAATTGAAAGTCGATATGAGCTATCTAGAACCGTGCCATATAATGCATAAGCAAAACGAATATTAATCTACAATCTGACTCCATTATTTCCCTTAACCAGTTAATATGATATAATGTATTGTTAATGTCTTGGTTTGAGATGGGTATCAAAAATTCGCCTAATTAGAATGCAACGTTCTTACGTATTGTTGTTTATTATGTTCTTTTTGTTTGATCGCAATAATATTCGTAGCGTTTATGCAGATATTTTTCAGATAAATATATATGTTTGTATGTATGCATAGAACATTACAGCATTCATACTATACATCATTTACTCCCATTCATTTTGGCTTTAGAATAGCTTTTTGCTTTTATTCCTTATTCTTTTCCTGTTCGGTTTATAGTTTTTTTTTGCTTTTTGTTTTTGCCCTTTTTTTAATACTATGTTAAGGCATTAAACTGAAAACTAAAGAAAATCATCTGTTAACTGCAGTGTACGTATATTTTTTGTATCAGTATTTATAATAATGCGCTTGCATACCAGCACTAACACGCAACAACGTTAATAAAAGACAGATGAAAAAAAAATGAAAAAATTCTTCTTATTTTTCCAGCTGGTTTCAGTCATTATATAGAAGTTTGTTTGTATAAGTAAAGAATACGGAAGAAATGAAATAAAACCATTTAAGGTTACATTACGCTTTAAACTATAAGAAGAAGAAGAAGAAGAAGAAGAAGGAGAAGAAGAAGAACAAAACAAACATGCAGAATAAAAATATATTTGAAAAGCTTTTTAGCTTTTTTTCTTATTTGAAACTAAAAATTTATTTTATATTATCTTAGATCCTTATAATTTCATTCATTCATATACATATATCTTTATTAAAAATGAAAGGAACTTGAACCTTTACTGAAACGTAATTACGGCCGAAAGCATAACTTATAATTAAAATATGGTTTACTTAGCAAACTTTTATCTTAAATTATTTTTACAAAAATTGAGAAACAAAATAATTCATTCCTCTTTCAAAAAAAAAAAAAAAAAAAACCTTTTTATTTTAATAAAGAACCCTTCTTTTGCTAATATTTTTAATAAAATGATTTAAAATTTTAGCTCAAGAATTATGCAGAGTTAAAAGGAAAAGAGCTATGTTGAAGTGTTTCTCTTCACATTATATGCAATTAGTCCAGTTGTAGTCCATTAGTAGTACCTTATTAATGCAATCTAATGTTCCTCTTATAACGAACATTTGTAGTATACGTGTGTGGACATCGAGAGAGGCGATTTTGTCACATCTTTTCCTGTAGCAAACTTTTGACCTAATCTTGGTATTGCCAAAGTTTGCTAGACTTGGTTAAGAACTATGTAATATCTTCGCACTAGTTAGTGAAATTCTAGAAATCATCATCGTCAAGCAGTAGTCGTCATTGTTTTAGAGTAGATTTTCTCGTGTCTTGTTTTTATTCCAACTATTATACTCCGTTAGGTACTACGTATCTTACCTTTCGAGTAATACATGAAACTCGTATCGAGAGCACAATGCAGTAAGCACTGCTCAAGCAGATAATAGTTATCGCTTGAAACGAAAGCAAGTAAGGAAGCATAGTGCCTAGTGATGTACCATAGCTCAACTTTTTACTACTTTAACCTTCTTCACCAAGTTTTTCGATTTGAGGCCGAGTGGTATCATACTAAAAAAATCACTACATAATATCTTTTCGCATACAGGAAGTGTTATTTGGCTTAATTTTCATTTTTTACTTTTGAATGGTGATTTCACTTTGCTGAAGTATTTGATAATTTCCTATATCCAGCCGACCTTAAGAATGGCACAAAAATCGTTTATACATTTTAATAATTTAGTAAAGGAAAATCTCGGAAATTAAAAATACTTTCAAAGCTAATTTTACGTGAATTAATGTGCGAGCGATATTGTGCTAAATCGCTCATAGGGTACGCAACGACTAACGCTAAATTATATACATATATATATATAAATTAATGGAAACAAGAATACACGTATCATTTAAGGTAAGAGGCTTCGAACCGTAACGAAACACAATGTTCTAATATTAAATTAACATCTCGTTTAATATATAATAGATCTTAGCTAAGCTTCTGTAAATTCGAAAGTTATCCTTGGCTCTGTTCTAATTTCCTCGAGAGTGAATTAACGGAACGATACAGTTTAGCAAGAAGGGCTTATTTATATTGTATAATTCCAAGTCATTAGCTTAATAGAAGTAAGATCTTACCATTTCAAGCGAACCACTCCAGTTAGGCCAGCAGTGTTCCAAAGGATATCTGTATGAAACTTCACACCAATATCTTTGCTATATAATTCGAAACTATTACGAATATTGCTCTCCTTATTCGACAACTATGTCTTTCTGAAATCCACACATACAACCCAATAAATTAATAGATTAGCCTATAGATGTGGGATGACTATTAACGCATTTATATGATCTTTAGATAGCACTAATCTTCAAACGAAATGTGTCAAAACTGTCTCGCGTTTCGACCGTTAGTTTACAAGTTGCAGTTGTTTTAGTGATGCTAACACGAAATAACAATTTTTTCATTGAAACAAAAGTAACATCACGAAGACGACAGTTTACAACTGGCAAACTAATGGTCATAGATATTACTTGAGAAAATATTCTGAGTCAAATTGCGTCCTATGGGTTTGTCTGACTATCGAAAAGCAAAAAAAAAAAAAAAAAAAAGAATATTAAAACTGCTACCTACCCCTTTTTTTTTTTTTTTAAAAAAAAAAAAAAAAAAAAAAACGGGTCCGATGCACTCATCACAATAGCCAAAATACTGTAACTTATAGTACCGTGCGCAGCAGACAATGATCTCAATGAAAGAATCATTATAATATTGCAACTTACAGTGTAAGAAAGGTTCCAAAATCCAACATTGATACAAATATTTCCTGAAACGATCAACAGTTATGCAAATGATCACTTAACATGCCCTTACTTAACAAAATAGTTTGGAGTTCTATCATACTATTTGGTAAGCACAAAGGACTCGCTCGTTTAAGAAAAAGAATATAAAATTTTAGATAAGTTGGCGAAATATGCTCTGTTTGCAGCTACGTGGACTCCATTAAAGAGTTTTATGAGAAGAGAATGTCGCATATACGTATAACGCGGTGATGGTCGGAAAGAAGTGGGAAGATAACGAACTAGGCAGTAGCGAAAGCCTGGGTAGTACACACCCCCATAAGGTAAGTGTTGTACCTTTACCGACCGAGCACCCGCTACTGCTGCGATCACACTCCAGTCGCAATTAATATATAGTATCTTGCACACAGTGATTTAACTTCAGTATTTGGCTATGCGGTAACTCTTCTATGCCCTTCATCTTGAGGGTAATTTTCCATTCATGAAAGTGTAGCGAAGATACTATTTTTGCATTATTGCAAATGCGAATACGTTTATGGGCAGATGTAATAATTTTTATTTTCAATCTGAATTTAAATATATAAGGAAGGAGGTTTTAAGTTTTAAGTTATTATTTATTTATTTATTTATTTTTTTTTTTTGTTTTTATTTTGCTCAGGTCGATGAAAGACTGCACGCGCAGTGCTGTGAATGGACGAATAGAGAGATAGATCAGTGAAAAAATAGGCAGCAAAACAGGCGAACAAACCTGTAAATAAATAGACCGATCGAGGCTTGGCTCTATGATCAGACGAGAAAAGAAAAGCAGGGACTGCGATTGAGCAGACAGATGATAATGGAAATATGTAGAGACTGAAAGATTTCACTAAATCCAATCGGAATATTTTCAATCTACTTATACAACTAATAAATTAAAGCACAAGCCCGTTAGCTCGAAGCCAACTTGAAAGATTTATAAATGTGAAAAGCAAAAAATGAATTTTAATGAAATTCAAAATCCAGTTTAGAAAGCAGGTTTGTTTCTTTAATTAAAAACAAAATTCAGCTCAAGTCAAACACTGAAACGACAAAGAAATAATGAAAGCTTATCAACCCGAACTAATAATCGAAAATGTTGTTAATAATATGTATTATTAAAGATTATTATTATGTAATCAACGTCTAATCACAAGCATTCATGCATAAATGCTTCGCAATTCATTAAAAGTCAATTTTCACATTATAAAATAATTCGTTAATTATGACGAGGTGTTAATAAAAAAAAACCATATAACTCAAATTTGCTTTATTTTTTATTATTTATTTGTTACTCTTGTTTAAAATTTCAATTGATTTTCCAGTCAAGGACCAGTCACTTTTATAAAAGTTAAAAGCTGTCTAACTATGAATGAATTTATATAAAATTATTAGCTTGAAATTTCCAAACACGCTCGCGCTTAAGTGGTTTGAAAAAATTTAACAACTGAACACCAATCACTTAAACATTCACGTAAATCATAGAGGACCGTTTAGGCAACATTCGTGCTGCATATAAAAGCTGGAATTAACAGCTGCAACAAAATGTTATAAAGTGAACACGAGGAAGGATAATTGAAAAAGACAGAAATAGACTGAGATAGAGAGAGAGAGAGAGAAGGAAAGAGAAAGAAAGAAAGAAAGAAAAAAAAAAACAGCAGGCAACCCTCCAATCATAGTTAAGTGATTTAAAGTGAAAATTAAACGATAGAAGTAAATAAAAAAAAAAAAAGAAGAGATTTTCAGAAAATTGTATAAAGCAAAGCCCACATCATATCCAGCTAATGCTAACAGAATGAGTGTTCAAGCGTGTGTGTTTTTTCGTAAGTTTAACTAAAAGCCTGTTAGGCGTTAATTTACCGCCTTTGTAGAAAATCGTGTCAAATAAAACATTAATGAAAGACTTTAGGAGAGAAAAAAGCCGATGGATGAAAAGTGACAGAATTTAAAAAATTTTTTCAACAAAAAAGACGAACGCGTATTGTGTGTGTTAAATTTCAACTTAGTTAGTTTTCTCCATTTAAAATTTTGTACTTGTTGTTTGATTTTCGTTGTTTCGTTGCTTTTCTTATACACGTTCGGTGCATTTAGTTTTTATCTTTTTTTTTTTTCCATTATGTAGACTTTAAACATATGTACATTACGAACACGTAATAATTTACATTGCGGAAGTGCTGCCAAATTAAGTATTACACTTAACAAACAACAACTACAAAGACTCCAACAAAACCAACAATAACAATAACAAATACACCGCATTATGGCAGTCGTGCATGTCCTGTGTTGGATAATTTTCCTTTCAACGATATCAGCCCTGCCAGAAATACCATCGAAAGGTAAGTCAATTTGCATATCAACACGTTTATGCATATGTCTGCGTACTTATGCATGTTACGGTATATGTACGTACAAAATTGACAGATGTATGTATGTGTATTGTACATGAATAGGTTTATTTAAAGTTTTTTATAAGTTTTAAAAAAAGCCATGAAATTTGTTAAAGCATTTTAGGCCTCTATTACAAGTTGAATTTCAGTTGTTGTTGTTTGATTCAGTAAAGGGGTTTTTTTAAAAAAGCAAACGTCAGTGCGAAAGAAAATTTTTGGGATTATTAGACAAGAAGGAGAAAAGTCTAATTGCTAACAAATTGCTCATTATAGATACCATTAATGGATCGGATGATAATACGTTTGTCTTTCCGCTATAAAAAACCTGAAAAACCTTTCATGATAATTATGAGACTTCGAATCATTTCTCGCTCCCCAGATATGTATTTTAAAATGATCTGAAAAATTAAGGTAAAATCGATTTTGATCGGCTAACACCTACACAGCAGTCAAAATAGTTTGCGATTTTTATTTGCTAAGCATTTGAGGGCCAAAGTCAGATCTCGATTAGACCAAAAATAGCTTAAGTGTCATAGAAGTAAGTTAAGTGATTCAAGATGCCTCTCTGACGGACATAACAGATTTGGTCGATTTCATACGAACATCAAATATATGGCTTCGAATGCGGTCGCGTAACGGCAGTAAGAAACTAAGGTGATGTCGATATCCGATTTCCGTTCTATCCTTTTTCTGGTTTCAGACTTCAACACTAGCAGTCGCATGCTCGAAAGCAAGCCCGTTCGATAATAAATGGAAGCGATTAAATAAGTAGGCGGAACTGTTTAATAAAGGTATTATATGGGTGTTATTGAAGATATTTTAGAAGAAGTGTCCGATTTAGTCCGATAGTTATAAATACATAAATGAAATCGGGTGGAGTAGATCAGAAAGGAATTAGGAATGGCGTTCAACGAATAATGTATGTGATGGTGTGCGAATCAGATAACAATATATATACGTTAAAGATAATAGGAAGGAATAGGGTTACTTATCCCGAGTGTTTAGACAATAGTGGGTTTCCAGTCAAAGCTAAATAATACCCAGGAATATTGCTAGAGTGTCCAAAAGCTATAAATACCTCACTCGGTGCCACCCCAGCCTAGTTATATGAACCAAAATAATTACAAAATAATTACATCCTTGGAAGCGTCAAAGTTGAGCTATGAGGGAAAAAAAAAATTCCTTTTTCTTCTTATTTTCTTAAGCACTGCTACAAAAACGTATCAAGCGCGAGCTGTTATAGAGAACCGAATAATGTATTCAACCTATAAGATCCACACGTACATGCTAAACATTGCATCTAAAGATTAATTTAATTTGCATAAAATATGAAAAAAGTAACTGAGGTTACGGTAAAATAGACAAAAAACTTTGGGAGTTGGAGCATAAAAAATATGATTACAACAGAGATTAATATTTGTGGCATGGAATTGCTTGTCGCTAAATATGCAGACTGGGGGAACAAATTTATTCAATTTTGATATATCGCATGAGCGTCACAACTTGGAACAAAATTTTAAGATTATTAGATTGTTATCATCTGACCAGAGAAAGCATTCACATACCAAGAAGTTGGAATAACTACTTTCTTCAGCCCATGGTGATACAATATGTTTATATATGTTTAGTGAAATGTTCGTATGTGCTTCTACGCATTTCTAAAATGTAACAAAATAAACAAACACAAATTTTCCAAATTTATGCCTGAAGGGTTAGGGAAAGCAACCTTCTACGGACGGTTTAATCAAATTTCTCAGCTGATCGTTCTACTCCTCTATCTACAAATTGTGTTTTTCACAACGACAGTAAAATGGTAAAAGTTGATAAAATAGTAAAACCAGTCTATCAGCCGCGCCGCTTCATTTCAACGATTTTATTGCGAATTCTTTTCCTTTTATAATCAAAAAATGTTCTTCCTTTTGTTCTCCCTTTGATTTTGTAGTTAAGCAACACTTGTCTTTGACTTTTCTATGCTATAAAAAATTCTTTTTATTGATTTGTAGATCCAAACTTACGTTTCTAACCCAATGGTCTGTACTTAGATGATTATCCCATCGGCTGTTGTTGAAAGTATTGCTTTTATACGAACATCATTTTAACGAAAATCATTTACACTATAAAGCATAGGTCTATCGTATAATTAATCTGCATGATTCTTATGTACATTCATTCCTCTTAAATACCATCTGACTATGGCTTACTCAAGTTATTTGGTTCGTAGCTCCGATATCCACTTAAAGGCATCCTCAAAATGAGTGTAACGGACTATTAGTCCCAGCGTCCAATTTGTTATTTCTCCTTACCTGATAAACTCTTCTAATCATAATCTTCGTGGCTCCTAAAGGTAATGGTCTCATAGATTTGAACTGATTAGAGAGCGATAATGCTACCGGTTTGATGGATCGATCAAAATGAACGGAAATGACTATGGCCATTCCCATCCCGCCGCTCTTCGAACGATTAACGTTGACCATCGTTACAACAATCACATTCGAAATCAGTTGGCACGACTTCGAATGCCATAACTCTTCCAATTTCATGTAATAAATTAACATTATCTTAAGTACTTCCGGGAGTTTAACAACTTGGGAATACGTAAAAACACCTCAAAGCTGGGAATGGAACCAAAATGATTTTGTGACTTTGATCTTAACGGCATGTTTTACCCAAACAAGCGAGATGTTCTCGCCTACCTGTGAACGTTGTTATTGCATCCAAACAATCTAGAGATCTACTGCTAACTATTAAAAAAATCATTGCAAGTTACTTAATTAATTGTAATCTTTGAGTTAAAGTCACAATAAATATTTAGTAAAATAGAGTAACTTTTAATTAATATAATCTAGTGGACAGAAATTATTGGATCCTTTTTGCGCTTTATCATGCTTTTCTTCTTTATTGGTTTGAGAGATTTCTTGAATAGTCAAGGATAATATAAAAGAACAAGAAAATTTTATTCGGTTGTGACCGAATTTTTTGTATCCATCGCCATTATCCTATTTTTTTAGAATAGTTTTGGGGAAATTTATATTGTGTGCCTGCTATACTTTGTGAGCAACGAACAAGGAAGAGGGAAAGTCAAAGTGTTTACTGTCACAGGCGTTGCAGGCGTGTTCTTTCAAAAATTTGGCTCCTTTTCAAATTCTCTTGCAAGTTTGTAGGTGATATCTTCATTCCTGCGAACGTGAGAATGTTCACCGCAGATATTAAAAGGTTGCGCAGACGGACAGGTGGATTAGTGAACGGACGGACATGCTTAGGTGCATTCTTAATTTGGAAGTGGCCAAAGATTTATATATTTTATGGGACTTTTGAAGCTTCTTTCTGTGCGTTATAAAGATTTTGAAAAAATTAAATCATCACATGCTATAAAATCAAGTAGGCGTGGCCGATTTTCTCCATTTTTGTAGAGGTACTAGAACATCACCCATACAGTACACGCTTTTGTACATATATCTATTACAGTTTATGAGCAATGAGCAAATGAACAATTTTTCATTGCTTTTGAGAATGAGTGAGAGATGTTCACACTTTATGTAACACTTTAGGCGTGTCCTTCGACCGATTTTGTCCTTTTCCAACGCTAACCTGCATGTAAGAGCTTCGAATGTTGCTGCTAAATTTGAAATCGATAGTTTCATTTTTTCGGGCACAAGGACATTTACAACATACACTTCACAGACTGATGGGCAGTGCAACGGTGAGACGGACATACTTAAATCTATTCAGAGTTTGATGCTGATTAATAATGCACATATTTTGTGACCTTTTAGGCGTTACAAAAGTTTCAACTGAATGCATTCCTCATCATTCGTTGATGGATATAAAAATTACGACGAGTTGAAATTCTGAATGGCCCAAGATATGTCCTCTTTTGGATCGTATTCGTATCGTTTTATTCCAAATATTTTTCGTGCACTGAATAACTTGGCAATTGCGACCCTCTTTTTAACCGGCATAGTAATGTTTTTGCCCCGTTTTTTAGGAACACATAGTATAAAGTTTTGTGTAATTCACATAGGATCTGCAAAGTGTTCCAAGTTGTTGCTGTACGAGAGAAAACAATTACTCTAATTACAATCAAAAGAAAGCAGGTGTTAGTAAAACAAGGAGAGTGGAAAAGAGGGGGAAAAAATTGTAGGAAAAATTAAAAGCTCATGGAATTAAAACAAGGATAAGAATAAGGAAGAGAAGAAAATTTTCTTTATTGCAAAAGTATTTAGAAGAAAGAAAAAAAAAATTGATTGAATTAATTTATTCACTCAATTTCACCTTACTTTGGTACTCTACACCATTTTTGATGCAATGTTAAAATTAGTTTGTTCGCATAAATGCAACGACTAGAAGGAATCATTTTTTAGTATACTGATCGATCCAGAAAGTGATTCTGATTCTAAGGTTGTCTGTCCGTCTGCACGTCTTGTTTTCTCGAGTTGAACCTGTAGGTCATAGCTGTCAAAACATTTTGATAAAAGGTGGTGCACAGGGTTGTTTTAGCCCAAGGACGATTGCTATTGAAAATGATTCATATCGAGCCGCTTTTTCGACCAATGCATAGGCTTCTCTTGAAAAATCGTAATATGAATAAATATAGGATGATGTAGGGTATTTTTACTTATTTTTTATATAAAGGGCTTTTTAAACACGGTTATTTTATATAGGGAGTGGCCGTAAAAGCGAACCGATCCTATTTATATTCCAGAGAGTCCCTCTAAGGTCTTCTGCATAAAACACGCTATCGCACCACTAATGGTGAATGGGGAGACTAACCGAAGCTACATTTGACAAGATATTTTTTAGCCACTTCTTGATGCAGCACTTTTCCAAAATGTAATCCTTCGCTTGTAAGTCCGCAATAGAATTTCTTTTAAAGACACAAAAATGAAAACACTTGACTTAAGATATATGTGATTTATTACTTTAATATTATTACATATATTAGCTTCTATGGGTTTCAGCAATTATATTAATTATCACATTAACTTGCTTATCTACAATCTATGGAAAAGCTATTAATAGGAAATAAATTCGCAAGAAAATACGCATGTAATTTAAGGCAATTTTATTTCATTCAAGTGATAAATAATGCTTTCTAAGAAATTAAATTTCCGAAAATATTACATTAATTATGTGAATCATCTTACATTGATTTCAATCTTCTCAATGGCAATAACTTTTCCTAATCATGATGTTATGAAAATTCCAAATTACTTATACTTTTCTTTCTTTTGACAATTAATTATTCGCTTTACGAGTATATATATATATATATATATATATATATATGCATTTGAAAAATCATTTTAAAATCGATATTTGAAGATGAATTTAAAATCCAATTATAACTTATTTTTAGAGCAAATGTTTTGTTGCATATTTGTTATGTCTTGACTAAAGATGAAATTTAACTTAAATTTGGTAAAGATTATAAAAAATTTGAACAACATTACTAGAATATTTCTTTAGACACAGACTAAAGCTATAAAATACCGAAGACAAAAGAAAAGGAATTATAAACTAGTGACAAACGTATGCAAAAATAGAGAAACAAACAAACCAAAAATGTTTTGAATTTCAACAATTGACTGACTGGAATGATGTTGATTCTGAATTTCAATAAGATTGGGAAGGCAAGCAAAGTCAATTCGCCTTAAATCGAATTATTTGGTTTTTAGTTTTATTCCTTTTGAATGCAGAAACAACGATTGCCTGGAAACGTATGCATACTATTGTACTGCATGCACCTCCACGTTCACCTTACAAAGGTATGCTGTCATCTATATACGCAAATAAAATATTCCCACTTATATATCATGTTTGAACAGTGCCGTAATTGGCACAGCATAAGTAAATCTAAAGAATAAAATAAAGTGCAACAGTGTACTTTTACTTTATTAGTATACTGAATAGCGTTATGGAAATATTCTAAGGTAAAGCAGATTTAGTAAATAAGCACTTCCATATGTATTCAAGGTATACATCGAATGTATACAAGCTATTCATCGAATGGGTTCGTATGAAAATTCTAATCCAAGACAATTGAAAAAATGAATTTAAAATCGTTTTTAACTTTCTGAACAAAATTTGAAGGTAAGCAGACAGTCTGATGAAAAGCACAGATATATTGTTGCATTTCAAATGTAGCTCCTGTGAAGGACAAATGGCATCACTGAATTTAAAATTTACTTTTTTCATTTTCGTCTTTTTATTATCAGATGATTTTTAATTTTTTATGAGGTAAGTGTTTCTTTATTCTTCGCAAATAAATTCTGTTAGGATTCAAAAATTTTAAAATTATTTTAAAATAAATCTTATCATTACAAAAACACTACGTCGCTACAATTCTACTGACCAAGACGTTATGTTACAGACATATTAGTGAGATATGTATACTCCGGCACACTCTGATAATTTTATTTATTATTATTATTATTATTATTATTATTATTGTTATTATAAATTTAGACAGAGAATAAATTCGAAGACTAAAGTCTTAAAGCACTAGCATCTAAGGCTTTATTAAAAACTCTATCGCGCTTGAGATTTGAACCCACGACCATTGAGTTGCTCGTCGAGATTTTTGCCTACTCGGCCACTAAGGAGGGTAATTTTATTTTTTATTAGATCCTTAAGTTCATGTTCCCAGGATTTGCACTCAGCTTGTGATATACAGTAGTACTAGTAATAGACGTCGCTTGGGATTTATCACGGACGCCTAAATATTAATGCTTAATGCTACAGGGCCCGTTAGCAAAGCGAAAATTGAATGGTTGGTAACAATATCCCAAGAATGTTAGCAGAATGAAAGAATAGAAAATGTAGAATAATTCCCCTGCGCCGTAAGTCCTAAAATGTTAGAACAAGGTGTGGGATATGTATCGTTTCTCTTCTAACATCCCATATATATAATGGTCACGCAATTCTGTGGCGGCCCAAAGCTCTCCAAAGCCACATTCTTATCTGTCAAGTTGGAGTCTGCTCTACGAGAACCTCTTGCAGCCATGATAGCTTTCAATTATTCTGTGAATTCTTCACTTATTTTTGAATTTTCAATGCAATCCCATATCGCAGACCTTCACAATTATAACCTTCGTAAATCGTGGAGAGAGTATTGCCCAATTCGTACTACACTGATATATTTCAGTAAAACAAAAGCCCCCTTTCGAAAGAAAAGCGATGTACTTGTTCCTTGGTCATCTGCGGAGTTATTCGCCAAACCAAATTTTTCCTGTCCAAATACTATTACAGAGCAAGCTTTGTCCAAAGATTTTGAAAATTTCGATTTTTTTCCATATATCTATTTTTCAAAAATAACATTATAAAGGGATAGATCAAAAAAATGGTCTGATCCAAACCATTTTCATTAGCGTTCGTCCTTGGGCCAAAGTACGTTAGCGAACCAAATTTCATCAAAATATCCTAAAAGTTTCGATCGGTAGCTTGAGCGTAAATTCAGTGAGTTCACAAAGAGCGATCAGGCAAAAAGACAGGCCAACAGAGGCACAGACAGGCGGTTTCAATCGGTCGCTAAAATAAAATGGTGGATCCAGCTGAACTCCTTTTCTGTGTTACATACGTCCGCATAGACTTAATATGCTCTGTACGTCAACTCGTGTAGGATATAAAAACATTCAAACAAGTTCCAAAAATACGATAAAAGTTTATCTTGTCTATGTCTTTCGGTTTGTTAGATCCAATGAACAAAACCATGATGAACAAATTGCACTTAAACTAAATATGTTTATAAAGCTAAGGGAAATAAATAAATTTTTTTAAAAACAAATATAACAAAAATCATTCACGTATTGCGTGGCATGAGCATTGCCCCGTGGTATCACAATTGTTGAAAGTTTTTCCAAAAAAAAAAAAAAATTTTTTTGGAATATTTGAAATAATGTTTTATACTTTTATTTATGTGCAGATATACTTTATATACCAAATATATATATACGTACGTGTAAAACTGTCAAATGTTAAGTTTAATAATAAAATGAATATGTTTTCCAATTTTCTATCCTGCGTAGATGTTGAAAAAAAAAAAAAAAAAAATGCGAAAGTGGATATTTTCTTCCTCTTTTTTTTTTTTATGAAAACATTGACTAGTAATGTGTTGTGTTTATATATGTTGCGCACATTTGATTTATGTTGAACATTTACTATTTATTAAAAGTTTAAAAACATATTACACATGTATATGTTAGTTGAATTTTATTTTGAAATTTAAAAATTAAAAATTTTATTCAAGTTTATATTTATAATAAAAAAAAAGAAGTTAAAATAAATAATTTTGCTTTTAAAAAATGTAAAATTTTTTATAAAACATAAATAATAAAAATGCGTTGTTTTTAAACATTTGCAAAGTTTTACTTATTTATAGCAAAGTGTGCAAAAAACTATTTTAATTATTTATTAAATGGGAAGAAAATGTACGAGCAAACCGCAGACTGCAAATATATAAAATATTAATAAACAAAAAGAAAAAACAAATTTATTGTTAACAGCGTTCCTGCTTACCCAAAACGGTGCAAGTAACTATGGCAAATATGCCATTGCAGTAGGGCTCCAGCATCACCGCAATTAAATTAGACGCCAATATGAGACCCAAACGGCCCAATGTCATGCCCATGCTAACTGCTTTCCCCCTGCATTTTCACGGTACAAAAATAAGCAAATAGTTGAAGTCTTTTAGTATTCATTACGTTGCTTGTACGTATATTTATGTGTGTAAATATATATGTGTGTATATATACAAATGTTCGTGTGTAATGTATTATACGCAAACATGCATATGCAAAGACGTGTCACGGTGACGAATCGAATCATTTGGACCGAAATATTTGGAACCAATTTGACAATGACATTTTATATAAGTAACGATGAGTTCGTTCAGTGAAATATTTAGTTATTTGCGTATTTATTTATTTATTTACTTTTGGTTTTGTTTTGGTTTTGCTTCGCAATTCAATAGACGTATTTTATGACTCATTTTATGAAATATATAATTGAAAGATCTAAGCCCAGAACAAGCCGTGTTATAGGCGGAAAGAAAAAAAAGCGATATGCAAGCGAGCAGATAAACAAGTGTTTGGGTGGAGCAATAGTCAGATAGAGATATGTATAGACGGTAAGACAAGCGGACAGATCCATGATAGGTCGACGATGAGTGTATACACGGACGAACAAAATAGAAGAAAGACAAGCTAATAGATTGGCCAAATTAAATAAAAAGCTTAACCGTACCATTGTTATATAAAAAGTTAAAGTAATTATCGTCTGATAACTTGAAAGCGCTTACCTCAGTTGTGTTGGCACCAAATCGACTAAAGCTCCGCACATGGTGGATATTGATAAGCCCGGCAAAAGGATATATAAACAAAATAATATTAAAATTCCCGTAGTATTGGTAACGAAATGCAATAATAAACCACTTAGTACTCCCAAACCCAGAGCAGATAATAAAACATTTTTACGTCCTAGAGGATTTAATATGGCTCCCTGTATAGAAAATCCCACCAGAAATGCCAAACCCATAATAATGTTATCCACATATGTTTTCGCGTTAATACTGTCATTACATGTCTATACGAGGACAAAGGGAGAAGAACATTTCCATGAAACTTGCATCAAAAGTTCTTTTATTATTACTTACCTTTATATCTTCGGCGTTATCAGTGCTGTTAACTATTCTTAAATGATCTCTTCCAAACGATTCGTTCAATATCTTACACACAGATGCGCTTTGTCCAGTTTCCGAACCATGCGCTGAACGATTAACAATTTCCGGATACCATATTTGCATACCGTTCGAAGCAAAAAACAAACCAAACATTGCTACGACAGCTAGAGAAAAATTACCGCCATATGGTTTGTGAAATAAGGGCACCGTAGCTTTCCAAATATTCTTTAATATGCTGCAAATATTGCGGCCCGTCATTAATTGCAAAGAGTCGGAGAGCTCCTCGGCCTTCACCCTCAATTCGGTGATTTTTAATAACGATTTCACGTCAATATTTCGATTACATTTTGAAATCCAATTTATTGCTGCGACAGCTTGGTCGTGTTTCTGTTGAGCTAACAAAAACTTGGGACTCTCAGGGAAGGGCAACATCATTAAGATGCCCAAAAAACCTGGCAATAGATTAAAAAGCAAAATCAAACGCCATGGTCTAAACGAAAAGCTAGATGTAATAGGCAAAGACCAGTCAGAAGATAACACTAACCAAGCAGTTGCTAAAAAGTGAATAGATAGAAAATATTAACTGCATACGGTATATGGCAGAAAAGCGAAAGTAGTTCCAATTACCTGGCATATAAATGGCAGCTACACTTACAAACATATTGCAGTAATTTATAACTACAGCACGATATTTGAATGTATTGAATTCACCCAAATAAGGATATAAGGTACCGGAAATACCACCAAGGCTGAAATTATTTATTTCAAATATATTTTACTAAGTCTCCTTATAGATAATCTCTCATCTCCTTTGAACATCTTCAGTAGTGCGTGCATCATGTATAATAGAAGTTCACTTCTTCTTCAAGAGCAAATGTTTTTTCTTTTTTTGTTAAGTCATCAAGGATTGTTAAGCTTGAATCTTTAATTATTGTATCCCCCACCAATTCTCGTACAAGGGTGTATGAAGTTTGTGAGGATGTAAGCAGTGGATGCGGATGGACCTATTTTCTATTATAGCGATAGATTCCAAATCGTTTTCTGAATCGCTTTACCTGTTCGTCTGTCTCTCACAATTTCTTACACTCAACTCACGGATTATTATCATGTGTGTGTGTGTGTGTTTCGATGAAGTTTGGTACCCATAAAACGCTTTGTTTCGAAAAGTCTTTATATGATAATATTTGATATGACCTGAAGTATTTAATGATAGGCCGTGACCAGCCATTGTTTTAACATACACAAGCTTACGAGAATAGTAACTGTACTACTATTCTTGATAAGAACGAATTGTGGAATCGATTTAGATATATGCGACTCGCTAGGTCAGTTAAAGAAATGCTCGGTTTTCATATCTCCCGTTACGCCAAGATCAAGGTAAATATATTACAATTTTACGAAGGAAGTAAAACGCGGGCAGTTGACACCACTTGCTTAACTGAAAAGTACAATAAAGGTACAGTCCCCGACCTACATGATATGCCGCATCGAATACTGCGAATAGTAGCTTTTTTAAAACATATTTTTGGACAACCTGGCAGGAGCTAATAGGCGACCGCATTTTAGTTTCTTTAGAGTCTCATTTTCGTTAAGTGACCTACAACTAGGTTACACTGTTTTTGCATTCAACCTCATGAGAACGACAAGACCTACTTTAAAAATAACTTTATTCCCATAACAAAACTTGCAGGCATCAATCGTAACGTTAGTGATCAGGTAAACAGACTGATATTGAATTGCTAGGTAATCACTACAAACTCCAAGGCTTATTTGCAATCCTTATTAACATTTTATGAAATCCATGCACTCTCTAACCGGGTGTACAAGAAATTTTTAAGAAGTACCCATTAGCTAAATGCATCTTCCTTGCCCGCTAATATTAGTTTATCACTGACGTTAAACCTAGATAGGAGTTTTGACACTCAAATGCGCCTCAAAGCTGCAATAGTGCGAAATGCAGATATTGATAATACAATAATTGCCGCTCACCTTATACCCATTATTAAGTTGATAAAGTTAAATAACCATATATTGGTGACAAACATAGTTATTAACAGCAAAGCGCTGGTAATAAATGTGCACCAGACTAACAAAGAACGTCGGCCAACAACATCGCTAATATAGCCCCATATATACGTGGAGACAACAATGCCTGGAATTAATTTTATTTAATAACAAAATCTACACGAAAGCTTAAAAAAAAATCCAACCTGCCACACTGGATGCCATCATAACACCTTTTTCCCCCTGGGTCATATTAAATTCACATTGCGAAGCAATAGCTATTATGCCTAACGATGTCTGCGCAGCCATAGATGTGGTCGTTATTAAACCGCTAATAAGCAATAGAAGCCATTGCGTCTTACCGAATCCTGAAAATTTAAAATTATTTTAAATCAAAAAAAAAAAAAAAAGAAAGAAAGAAAAAGAAACTAAAATATTTTGTTTTCACCAATTTCTTCTAAAACTTGTTCATATTCCCATTCGTTTGCTAACACCTTCGCTGTTTGTCTATGTCCCAAATGGCCATCCTCTTCTGACCTTCCAACATCTATGCCTTCTCGATTCTTGCCAGAGAACTGCATTCTTTGTTGCGAATGCTTCACTTAACCGCGTCTTAATTATTAATAATACTATTCAATGTATGAAGAAATATTTTATTCACTCGCTAGCTAATGATATTGTAAATATACATGCATAAATGAATCTATTTAATCTAAAGAATATATTGATTGCATCTATTAAAAGTTAATGTGTTGTAGCTTAATGGTTTAAAAATATCATTTTTAACTATCGTCTCTCAATATATTTGTGTTCTGACTTGTTTTTCATTAACATACTCTCGAAGTTTGTAGTCATTCTCTATCTGTGTACAGTAAATGCAACCAGAAATAATGCCCGTTTAACCACTTTTGCTTGGTATGTCATATTAATGACGTTTACATTACTGACAAATTATGCACATATTGCTTGTCTATATGCTTGCAAGTAACATTAGTGGGCTTTAAAATCCGGTTTCTCTCATTTATGCAGCCAATATCTCAGCGGTGATCGTTAGCCATCGCTTTTTCAAGTTGTCTGTACAACACGAAAGTAAACAAAATTTAGCATATTGTTTGTTGCTCTTAATATTTCAACAGGTGTATGTGAGTTGTCTTTTTTTACGGGTTTTGTGCGGTTTTCATCTTTCAGAACATATGACGGCTAAGTAAATGCGATTGTAGGCTTGATTTTGCTTTACTTCCTAGTGCCAAGCAGCAGGAAGAAAATCAGAGGTTTCCAATGGGCATCGCTTTCATTAGAGGAAATGTCCGGCTGGTAATTAGAGACTAGCCGGAGCAATGGGTGACGCCTTCTCATCGCCTACGCTATTGAGCACTATGAGGTTAAGGTTAGAGAATCCACCTATAGTTACAAAAAAATCTTGTATAAATAAACCGAAGTGTCCGCATGTGTTTCATTTAAATAATTAATTTACATTGCTATCAAACTATATGAAAATATTATTCAAACAATATGTACGAGATATCATGTAATTAAATGTTTATGTCAGTTTAGCCTGTGCAACTACCTATACCATGATATTAAATTCCATTAAGCTTTGACCCTCAATAAAGTGCATTACACTTCGTATAGCAAGCAAACTATTTTTTCTCATTTCAATACAAGCTGTTAAAGCTTATTAAACGTACGACGCAAGGCGAGTCTTGTTTTAATAAAAAAAACTTTGCTTAACCGCTTTCGTTTACATTTACCGCCATTCAGTTCAACATAAATACTTTGCACCAATCCATGGGCGTTTATTGCCTTATTAAACTTCACATACAATAAAGACAAACACGTGCCTTCCTGATAACCGCACGATTGAGATGATCTAGGCGCAAGCATTTACATATTGCGTCCCAATCTGTCCAGAAGAGCGTTGATTCTAAACAAATGGAAATAAAAGAAATGTTGAGAAACAAAGAAGCAACTGAAGGAGCGGCTGAGTGTTTACAGTAAGAACGGTACCAAAGGGAGATCAACAGCAAGACATTCCAGCATTTCAACTTTGAAGAGGATTGGGAGTATGGAACCAAGTGAAAACGATTCACAACTGTCTCTCCTGATGTAATTTAAACATTTCTTCCGTTTACTAAAATTCGTAGAACCATTTTTTGATAGACCTTTACCCCTATGTCCGTCGAAAGAAATCTAAAATGTTTCACCATTGCTTGCAGACGTTATGAAAGACGCAGTTAAAACGTTATAGCCAGCGGGAAATTCAATACCCGGTGACCCTTTACTCAATACTATTCTTGACCTATTTTCGACGTAATGTAATAAAAACCACATTTTGGTCGTACGTAAAGGCTTGCTATGCACGAGTCCGATAATACGGAACTGAGCTGCTTGTGTAGCAGAAGGACTAAAAAATTAACATAAAAATTCCTCACCTAGAAAAGTACATTTTTATGTGACATCGGCCTAAGTGTAAATTTTTATAACGAAATATTAATAAACTTTAAACATGTAGGCAAAGCAAGACTGCTATTAAGAAAGTTTCTTCTTTTTAGAAGGTTAATTGCACTCTTCTCCATTTGTGGTGCGAGAATAAATAAAATTTGTGCGAATGTATGCAATACCCAGAAGAACTTGAGTTAAAACTACCTTTTCTTACACTGACCGATTCAGCTTGTCTGCCTCCCTGTCCATCCGCAATTTTCGAAATATTTTAATGAAGTTTAGTACACTGGCGTGTTTTGGACCAAGGGCGGACGATCTTGACAATGGTTTGGGTACGACCACATTTTCGGCCACGTCCCATATAAAGCCTGATTTTAAAAAGTTGCGGATTGATGTGGGGTATTTAATGATGGGCCGTGACCCACTGCAATAGTTTTACTTGTTTCTATATACGGAAGTTTATGAGGAAGTATGAATATTCGTAACTTGCAAAGAATTTTACACATTTTTTGCATAAGAGTTTTTTAAAAACTGTAACATCATATAAGGAATGGTAGTAAGACGGAATCGATCCAGTCTATTTCCTATAGGGCCTGGTCTTTAATCGAAGCATGTCAATGTCCTGAATTGTGTCAAAAATATCGCCCAAGAATACCTAAGCAGATAATAGACGGACGGACACATCTAAATTATCCCAATAGCAGACACACAGTAACGGTTCAGAATCGCTTCCTGTAAAAAATAAGCGTTTATATCAAGTTCATCCAAACGTTATATACGTTCACATTAAATGAATATACCCTTCCACCAAGTGCAGATGCAGGGTACGAGAATAGGTTTGACAAATGCCCGGAAGTATCAGAAATAATATTTTTAATTTATTTAGTTGTTTTTTTTTGCAAACGTTCAAAAAACGAATATTACTTAATTGTATTATATGCTATAACTTAAAGCGAATACCTGCATCTGCATTCGAATATTCCAATGAATGTCTACAAAGTTCGAATAGGGAAAAAATATTTTCATTTGAATGTTTTTTGAGCATTGCCAGGAAAAAATGTTAAACCTTTTTTACTTTCAAATCTCATTATCACAATGACTTTACTTTGCTTTTACTCTATGCAAAATGTTGCTTACCTTAGAATAAAAAGGAAGGGAAAAAAATTGCATCTCTCTCATTGAAAAGTTTTTGACTCTCTGTAACATTTTAATACCTTGCTTTTCTTTCGTTTCTTTTTATATAAATATTCTGACACGTAAAGTAAAGAGCAAATCTATTTTAAACCAACAAATGCGCACTAACTTACATAAAAAGTTTTATATATATATATATATATATACATATACAAATATATGTTTATATACAGTTAGTTTGTCGATGTAGTCTTACGTTTTATAGCTTTTAGTAGCCTCTGGTGTGACAAAGTTTTGTGAATGGAAAAGTTCGTGTTTGCTGAATACCTGCGCAAAGTAAAGAAAACAAAAGCAACGATCAAACACATAAATGAAAGGGTTTAAAATGTTTTCAAATAATTTAAAATGTTTTCACTAAAATAAACTAAATGTTTTAACAATCATTGAAAGTTCAAAGTGTCGGAGATATGAGAAAAATGCTGTACATGAAATTATGCGTCTAGGATGAAATATGTAAATAAAATAACATATTTATTTAAAAATAATTTTCCAAAAGGACAATAACATTGTTACTAAGATGTGAAACCAGCAAAATGATGCAAAAACACAAAAGAAATTTTTATAACAACTATGGCTTAAACATCAGGATTGAAATTTGGTTTCTGCTTTTATTCGGAACGCATGACGATTGAATTTATTTACAATAATGCGGCAGTTCACGTATAAAACAATATCCGACACATGGTCGGAAAACTAAATGCGATGTTTCGTATACTTTCCATTTCACTAATTGAATGGTTGAATAGAATTAGTGCGTTTTCTATTGTTGATGCACGTCAGAAAAGTTATAACGTATTCTTCGCAAATCATCATTAAGCTTCGTTTCCTTTTTTTTTTTTGGTGGAAAAAGTTTCTGGTTTTGATAGGCCAGGATGTAATTATCGCTATTTCCGTTTTAACACTAAAACTACAGTGCGGGTAAATATGACCTTTAGAATTTTGAACTTGGAAAAAATGTTCATGAAGGATGTAAAGTTCCCCTATTTTTTGATCACTCTTACTGTTGTGAAAAGACCTTCTCCTACTCATAAGCAATGGACGTAAGGCACGCCCACAATTTTCAAGAAACTGAAACAAACTTGGAAATATATCAAATTAGTTTTCATATTTGTGTCTAGAACTTTCAGTCCTGTGAAGATATTTCGAGATATTTACCCTGATAGATTTACTAACACGTTGTCGATTTCCATGCACAGTTCGTTTTTCTGATGCCATCATTTCTATAACTTTTTGATATCACTTGTGCTAAGAAAAAATTAAGGTCATTTGTATTTTTTAGTTATAAGTTAACAAGACTAGAGCATGCAGACTTTTTGCAAACTGAAAAGAAACGACGAAAATATGAAAAAAATATCGAGGTTTTTTCGAAATGATTTCCGTTCCGTTGTACCAAATATCTACTTGGTATCTTCTTTTTTATGATTGTTGCAATTCCACAAAAGCTAAGGGTCAAAATAATTCATAGTGAAAGCAATACCAATCTAAGCACGTTTAGTGTTAATAACTGAGGATTAAGGCCATCAATAGAATGATGCATGAATGGATGATGTACTTGCAGAGAGTTGGGTAAATTTAATTAACTCAAACATACTGCGAAAATACCCGCAATAGTTGTTAACTCTTTAAGGATTATTTCGAATAAAATCATACGGATTGATTGGATTTGGATTCTAAGAGTGAAAAATTAAGTTAACAGTTATCCCACTGGGTATCTAGGTTGTCTTTGAGGTTTTAAAAAAATCTCCCCGTAACAATTCCAATGAAACACGAAAACTAAAGGATCATCATGTTCTGGATCTACCATTCAGAACTTATCCCCAATTAGAAAATAGAAAATTTATACGCAAAAAATATTCAGAAAGACATACACAGTGGAAGTCGACGCGATTATAACACAAAAAGTTATTTACTCTCCGTCCTAGATGCTATGTTTTCAAAGATTTTTTTAGTTTCAAAACAAGAAGAAGTAAAAGTCATGTAACGAATATTCCGCTTTAAAATGTATATATATATAT